GCGGCTCCCACGGATCCCTCCGCGCTCTGCTCCGCACAGATGAGCCCACGGATCTCTGGTCCCAATCCTGAATAGGGCTTGGATTTGACGCTGAGCGCGCGCGCGCGCCCCCGCCACAGGACTACTTTCTGTTACTTCAAGCCCCGCCCCCTGTGTCCACTCTACTTTCCTCCCTAGCGGAGGAGCACCGTTTGGCAGAAGGTGACGCGTTCCTCTGTGAGCCTCATCGCTATTGGGCCCGGCCCAGGGCGGAAATGAGAGCGCAGCGCCGATTGGTCCGGCCTTCCCTGCAATGCGTCAAAGTGGATCGAGCCACTGCACGGTGGTGATGGGGAAGCCCGAATTGTGTGGGTATTTGGAACTGTGAGGGGTAACCAGGAGAAGGGGAAAACTGTGGCTGTTGGCTATAGGAATACATTGTCTTTGTGGCCTGGGTGGTAAAGGGCTGGCGAAAGATGCAGAAGGACTTTCTGTTCCTCAAACGAATGGAAGATGGTTCAATCCAAAATCTTGGGGTCTGGAAGTCCCGCCCTCAACTGGCCCCTGGTGGTGGCGGGGTCGTCAAGGTTCCCCCAGTCACCTAAAGGTTCCCTCCTCCACCCTCTCACTGTACCTAAAGATACGCTCCATCGGTGTGGGGGGACCCCTAGCCCCGCTTCTCTCTGGACCCTCTCAGGGTCTGCGAAGTAGGGGCCGTCCCAGGACAGTCTCTGGGAAGACAGCATTAATTCAGTCATTCATCAGGAAGCATGGATTGGGTGCTTGCTGTATACAGGGGAGACCATACTTTCCAACCATTCCCTTGCCATCTCCTAGACAACCTGACTCTTTCACTCCTTATTCCAGGATTGCAACCATCAGAGGGAAAAGAAATGATGTGAAGGTTAGTTGACACTAACATTTTTGTTTCCTGGAGCTCCTTTTAACGACCCCTTTGTTATAGGAGCTGATATTCTCTTATGTAGCCTCTCTCCACCACGAGGGATAGGAAAGTATCTCAAGCCAGGCTGGTCATTATGCCCCATCCAGAACAAAATGTAGGCTGAATCAGTAAGACTCCTTCGCCTGAATGTTTTGGTCTGGAACTTGCGGGGCAAGAAGCCTTATTTGTTTTGGTGGTGAGTCTGTCAAGGAATAGGTCCTTCCTCTAGAAATTGCCTGTGGCCATTTTCCCACCCGGCCCCTGTCTCAGTAGAGAGGTGAAGAGGTGGAGTGAGTGACATTTGCTTCATTGGCTCCAGTACTCTTGAGGCCAGCTGTACGCCATCAATGCAAGCATTTTTATTACATGTGCTATTAAAATTTTCTTTTTTTATCCCAGGCTAGTTTGAGTTGAATTTCTGTCGCTTGCAAGTGAAGGATTCCTGATAGATACGAGCTGTTCTAGGCTCTAGCTTGGTTATCAGTGAGGGTCCTGGAACAGAGATAGACGGGTATCCAGCCAACATGCAGAAGGTGGGCAGGCTTGCGCTCTCTCCCTTCTCTGTTTTATTCTCAGTTTCCACCAAGGCGACCTTCACTTCTGTGGGACTTAGGGCTGTGAATTGAAAAGCAAAACAATGCTGCTAATACTTTTGAGCACTCACTCTGGGCCAGGCACCGGTCCAAGCACTCTGCACGCATTATTAGCTCAATTCTGATGAGCTCCCCGTGGGTTTGCTACCTCTATTTCCCACCTGATGAAACTGTTATTGCCATGGGAATGAGAGGAGGCCAGAGAGGAGGGAGGGCTTGATCAAGCACAGAGCAGAGAAGTACCTTGCCCATGGCTGCACGGTAGGAGGCAGAGTCAGGATTTGAACCCAAGCATTTAGACAGCACATCCCACCCTCAAACCCTGCATTGAACTCCCCATCTTTAGAAGACTTACTTTTGGCTTCTGTGGCAGAGATTATATTATCCTCTTATTATCCACTCTTACCCTCTTCCAGAGTAAGAGAATTTTAGTCGGGCACATTGCTACCCAGAATAAAAACTGCATTTCCCAACCTTCCCTGCAGTAGGGGTGGTTACCTGTCAGCATGTTGGCTAAAAGGATGTGAGTGGAAATGATACATACAACTGCTGGGTTATATGCTTAAAGCGAGTATGTCAGTCAGCTCTTTGGCACTGTAATGGAATACTTGGGATAATTTATAAAAAGAAAAGGTTTAATTGGGCTCAAAGTTTTGGAGATTCCTGTTCATGATGGGTTGGTTGTGTTACTCTGGGCCTGTCACCCACAGTGTGAGTGCCTGGCAAAGCCAAACTACTCACCTATGGGCAAGGAGGAAAAGGAAGGAGGCGGCCAGGGTTCCACAGTCCTCTTCATAAAGGTAGTCTCAGTGATCTAAAGAGGCACTGCCCATTAAGGTCCCACAAGGTCCCAATGGTATCACCCTGGGAACTAACCACATGGGTTTTGGGGCGCTAGTTAAAATCCTAACTACAGTAGAGAGGGACTCGTCTCCCCACTGGAGGAGTAGCTTTCTTTGCCATGACTTGAAAGACATGGCACCTAGGTCCTTGATGCTTTCTTGGAGCAGAGCTTACCCGTCCATCTCTAGGATCAAACGTTTATTTGAAAGAGAAACGAATGCCTGCGTTGTTTAAACTGCTGTGATTTGGGGTTTCATTGTTATTTGGGGCCTCTTTTTTTAAAAAATATATTTTTTAGATGCTGATGGACCTTTATTTTATTCATTTATTTATATGTGGTGCTGAGGATTGAACCTGGTGTCTCACACATGCTAGGCAAGAGCTCTACCACTGAGCCACAACCCAGGCCCGGGGGCCTCTTTGTTATAGCAGCCAAACATACTTGCCACACATCTCCATGCTCCCCTTTCTGGCAAGTGCCTTTGCTTTGGTGGAAGCTGACTCTTGTGCCTGCTTGTGACTTGTGAAGGGCATGTGGCTCAGGCATAAACCAATCAGCATGACCTACTTTCTTGTCATTGAATGGTTCAGAGTGAGCCATGTGACCTGGTCTTTTCCCCATGAATGGCATAATTTACATTTAATAAAGTGCTGTGGATCTTAAGCATTTGGTTCAATGAGATTTGACAATTGCCCACACTGATAGAATCAGCATCCAAGATAAGCTACAGAACATTTCCCTCACCCCAGAAGTTAGCTCCCTGCTTCTCTTTACAGTCAGCTCCTGCCCGCCTCAAGCAACCACTGTTCTGACTTCCGTCATCACGGATTAGTTTGCTGTGTTCTAGAATTTTATAGAAATGGAATTCTATAGCATGTGTTCTTTTGTGCTTAGCTTCTTTTGCTCAATGTAATCTTTTCAAGCAAAAATGCCTGGGACCTACTTATAGCACAGCATTTTTTTTTCTTTGACTTATCTGAAATTCAAATTCCACTGAGCACCCTGTATTTCTATTTGCTAAATCTGGTAATCCTAGTCTCAAGGCATCTCCTTTAAAGGATTGAGAAATGACATTAGTGACCTTCCAGGTTTCTGTCTTGTCCCATACTAAAGTCAGGCAAGAGCCTCAGTAGCTTCAGATTTTCTGAGATTTAGGAATGGCAATAATGAATTCATGTCAAGAGATATGAATTAATGTAATTCTCATATTCCTCCTGTATGGTAGATACTATTATCTCCTCCATTTTAAACAAGAAACTGAGGCACAGAGAGGTTGAACTATTCATTCAAGATCACACAGCTAGGATGTGGTAGAAATAAGGTTTGAACCCAGGAAGGTTGGTTTTAGTTTGTATGTTCTTATCCACCCAGCAAGCTCCTAATCGTGGTAGTTTTGTTTTTTTTTTTTTTGTGTGTGTGTGTGTGTAATATAAACATTTAAAGCTAAAAATTTTCCTCCAAGCACTGCTTTAGCTATATCCCACACATTTTGGTATGTTGTGTTTTAATTTTATTGTATTCAAAATATTTTATAATTTCCTTGTGATTTCTTCTTTGATTCCTAGGTTATTTACAAGTATGTTTAATTTCCAAATATTGGGGGGGGTACTTTCTGTATATCTTGTTGCTGATTTCTCATTTAATTCCATTATGATCAGATAATATACTTTTTAGTCCTTTGAAATTTACTGAGACTTGTATCCTCCCGTATGGTATACAGTGGTTGTTATATTTAATGCACATTTGGAAAGAATGTGGTGTCTGTGTGAAGTGTCCTATGAATGTCAGTTGGGTTGAGTTGGTTGATAATGTTGGTCCAGTTTTCTATATTAATTTTTTTTCCTGTTTATTTGTTCTACCAATTTCTGAGAAAGCCATGTTTTAAAATCTTGAACTCTAATTGTGGATTTTTGTGTTTTCCTCTTCAGACAAATTTTGCCTCGTGTATTTTGAAGTTCCACTGTTTGGTGCATTGTTATGACTTCCTGACAAATTAACCATTATAGAATCATGAAGTGAACTTTAGGTTTGGTAACATTCTTTGTCCTAAAGTCCACTAGGTCTGAGCCCTAGCATTGACACTTCAGATTTTTTTTTTTTTTTTTTTTTTGTGGTGCTGGGGATTGAATCCAGGGCCTTGTGCATGGGAGACAAACATTCTACCAACTGAGCTATATCCCCAGCCCCACCACTTCAGATTTTGTATGTGTTCTGTTTGCAAGGTATATCTTTTTCTACCCTCCTTTTTACTTTCAATGTGACTTTATCTACATTTTTAAAGTGTGTTTCTTGTGGATAGCATGTAGTTGATTTTGATTTTTTAAAATTCAGTTTAAATTTAAATCTAATTTAAATCTAATTTTTAAAATTGCCATTGCTAACTCATTTACATTTAATGTAAT